TTTTTTTTTTTAAGCTTTTTAAAATTTATTTCGAAAGAGAGCAAAGAGCATGTGGGGAAGGGGCAGAGAGAGAGAGAGAGAGAGAGAGAGAGAGAGACAATCCCAAGCAGGCTCTGCACTGTTAGCGTAGAGCCCGAGGCAGGTCTTGAACTCACGAACCTTGAGATGGTGACCTGAGTGTAAATCAAGCGTCAGACGTTTAACCCACGAGCTACCCAGACACCTCTATTTGTTTGCTTTTCTATTGGCCACCTCCTCCCACCAGACTATAACAAAGCACACCCTCTGAGGGACTTCTTACCTGTTGTTCCTCTCTCTCTCTCCAAGACCTAGAACATTGCTTGAGCATGGTGGGTGCCCCATAAATATGATTGAATCTAACGTATTTCTTTGTGTATATATAAAAAAATAGTTACTTAATATGAGGTTGATTTTCTTATACTGTTGACATACTTACTACACGTATAACTACATCTTTCCCAGAGGGTCTCACAGTAAATTATCAAATTAGGTGGTATTTGAGAGAATAATCTCTACTAAACCAAACCCAAATCTCTTTTTGGGCACCCAGCTGATTCCGTTCCCTCCAACCTCCCTTGCAGTTGTGGGTAGCTGTGGAACCAAGTTCTGCCCAATGAAATGTGGACAAAGTGGCTGAACTTCACTTGAAGGCTGAGCTCACAAAAACTACCGGAAAAAAATCCCTCTTCCGTCTTCCACGGTCCACCTCAAAGCCACCCAGTGAAGGTGCGGAATTGCACCAGCTTCAGCTCCTGGAAGAAGATGTGCTGTACTGCCTCTTCCCTGACTCTGATTAGACCACAGAAGCAAGAATTAACTTCAGTTACCTGAGATCACTGAGCTTTTCGATTTTTTATTCTACCGCAAAAGTCAAACTACGTTCATACTACTGCTAAAATGTTACCGTTCCACATTCTCAGTTTCTCGGGAATGTATGGCAGTTTCCAGACATGATATGTGATGACATCATCACTATTACGGTTACTAAAATATTTGCCTGTGTTTTCAAGAACACTCCAAGGTAGTGGGTTTAGGCTATAAGTGATGTACATTTTTAGAGATTAATCCCGTTTATTCTCAAGGATTTTATTGGGCTAGCTTTAATTTTCCCCGCTGTAATCTCTGCAACCTGATTTTTGTCCAACACATTGTTATACTGAAATCTAGAATTACGTCTCAGGGCGCCTGGGTGGCTCAGTCGGTTGGGCATCCAACTTCGGCTCAGGGCATGATCTCGCGGTTCGTGAGTTCGAGACCCACGTCGGGCTCTGTGCTGACAGGTCAGAGCCTGGAGCCTGCTTCGGATTCTGTGTCTCCCTCTCTCTCTGCCCCTCCCCCACTCACGCTCTGTCTCTCTCTCGAAAATAAATAAACATTAAAAGAAAATTAAAAAAAAAAGAAATCTAGAATTACGTCTT